GATTAAAAACTCAAAATTTACGACGGACGCGAAGAACAAAAACAAAAGACTCAAAAGAACAAAAATGATAGAATCTAAATATGGAGTCCAAGCTCTGATACCAAATGACGTGAACTCGGGTAAGGGATCAACGTGGAAATCGCGGAATTAATTGAAAATGTCGGGAAAGCCCAAATTCAAGTTGTAGATGGTAGAATCTCGACCTGCAAATTATTGAACCAAACGATCAAACAAAAGCAAAGTTTGAATGATCTCTTGATTACAAAACTAATGAACTTTGATTTCCGAACGCCACAAAGAGTGCATACTCATTTGATAAGTTCTAAGGATTGATATTTGATAAGTTCGGTACATGTTCAATCAAGAACAAAAAAGAGAGAAATCTCATTTAATTCATAATGTCAAAAATGTTCTTAGTTTTATAATGAAATAAATCTCATATTTATACTAGTGTTAGAAACCCTAATAAAACATAATTAGGTCATAGAATATTGTCAAAGTTGAAAATAAAATAGAATCCTAGACTAATAAGGAAATCTTGCGAAAATAGGAAAATTTCGCCAACTTGTTTTCGACATGTTTTTGTGTGATTGCAAGCCCAAAAGTACCACGAGTTCACGTAGTTTTGTGCAGAATTTCGTGCCATTTTCGGAATGTACTCATGAGCGAAAATCTGACAACCAAGCTGCCCGTTTTCATCCACGCTGCTCGTTTTCTTTCCAAATACCTTCCAAACCTTGAATCTAACTCGTTTCAGCTCCCGAACCTTTCATGAAACTTGAGCCTTGGCTTGTAAACATCTTCAATTTGGACTCCAAAACTCGACCAAGTGATTGCCTATCCCGGATTACATCATATTTGGTGTACAATATTTGATGACAACTTTGTTGACTACATGTCACGTGACGCAGTGTCATAGGACAATTTGGACGACAATTATTTTTTCAACCTACATGTTTTTGCCAACTCATATATTGTCGGCAATGTTGTATCCAACATTGTACAAATAGCTTAATCTTATTTATAAATGACAATTAATGGTGTGACTATTAAGCCTCTATTTGACAACCATTATACAGAGTTTATTCGGGAAAATGAGTTCCGGAATAATATTTTTTGGAAAATGTAATTAAAAAGTATACAAAATTTTGGGTTTGCGTGTAAAATATTTTATTGTGATAATGTGGTTGAAATTGAAATTGAGAAGAAAAGAAATTTAAAAATGGTTATCAAACTAGGGTTAAGTTCGAATGGCCACCCTATGCGGCCGTGAAGCTAAATTAAAATCAAACAAAAATGCTTTCGAAAGTAAAAAACAAACAATGCGTTGCACGTAAGTTCTTGAGTTAGTAGCATTTCGATGGTCACAAGGATAGTTGTTTATATTTAATGGCTAATCTCAACTATGGGATGAAGTTACGTTTTGTGAAATTAAACTAAAATGTAATAACTCAATTGACAATAATTGAAGTATAGCGATCAATTTGACAATTGGGTCAAAGCAAATTGAATATACCCAATTTCCATAATTATGTAACATTACTAGGAGACGAGACCCGAAGCCTTGGTAGGTTGGGTTCCTTTTTTCCGCCTTAAGTCATTGTGTTGATATAATAAAATCACAACTTGATTCTTTGTTTGTCGCTAGAAAATTGATCGGGTAATCTGCTTCGAGAACAATTTCTTATTAATAAGAGCTAATCAAAGTAAGAAAGTTCAATATCTGAGATAATGCTTAGTCTCGTTGTAATAATATATTATTAGAACACATGGAATATGATTTAATAGAGTGAAAAAATCTTTCTATCTAAAAGAAATAATGTTCGAGTATGCCTTTGTCATGGTAACATTCTCGATGATTTGTTTATCTTGGAAAGTATTTTCCTGTTCTTTTCACTCTTCCTTCAAGCTCGATTAAGATCCAATCAACATCATTTTTCATATCGACGTAGTTGTATCGATTAGCACGATCCTTGACTTTATTGCAACAAACTTGACCATGTTGACTCTATTTCAAGCATATCATACTTTTCGTAATGAATTTAAAGGCTCGTAGAACTATTGATAAAATTAAAAGGGTATGAATATTTTTTAGTATCCTAAAAAGCAGAAAGTGTGATTAGGAGTGGGGGTCAATTTTCGAACTTTATGAGCTTCGGCGAAGTCTAGATGTAAAAAAAGAAAAAAGATCTTATTTTAAAATTTTAATCATTTTAAAAATTATTTAATAATCGAAATAATGCATATCAAACATCTAAAACTATAAAATAATATATTTACTTAATAATTTCTACAATTAGTCAATTATACAATTTTCAAAACGTAAAGCTAAACTATTTTTCATAATTTCAACTTTCAACTAGACAATTCCTACTTGAAATTTTTAAACGTGTTTTCATTTTTTTTTACTTTTGTACATATAAAGTCATTTAAAAACTTGAAACTAAAATCAAATAAAATACTTTAAAAAAATTAACAAAGCACCACTAGGCACTCATTGCCAAGGCCTAAGTGGTGTAGTGTTTTGCTCGAGCCTTGTGTCTAGGTGCTGTGTAGACGGACTTTTTAAAACATTGATATTTTTTAATTTGAACGAATCCAATTGTAATAGCTTTTGTACGACCTATGTGCTACGAGTGTGTTTGATGTACATTAAGGGCGTGTTCGGTAGGGATTAAAATCAGATTAAAATTGAAAAACTAGCCGTTATTGTTGACTTTTATTAGACATGTGTGACCCAATAACGGCTATATTTTCAATTTTAATTGGATTTTAAGCTTGTCCAAACATGCTCTAAGATGGAAAGACTGTATTTTTTGTGATGTGATAGTGAATATATGGTTGAAAAAGAAAGAAAAGTTATTGATGTGATGGAAAATATTATTTTATTAAAAATTGTATGGTTGAAAATGAAAATGAGAATGAGAATGAGAATGAGAATGAGAATGAGAATATGGCTCAAACATGAATAATTAAAAATGACTAATGGCACATTTTATAAATAGAAAAAACTTGAAATAAGCCTCCATTTGACAATCATTAATCGGGAAAAACAAAATTTTGAATAGCGATTTTTAAAAGGATGTATGGTTAAAAAATAAGACTTTTTAAAAAAATTTACGTGCAAAAAATATTTTATTACATAAATGCATTGTTAAAAATATCTTCATAGGAAAATGAATTTTGAAATAAGCCGTCAAACCTGGGCTAAATTTGGCCTTTGAATATTCCAAATTCCTCTTGTTTGGGTCGGATTAAAATCTGATTTTAATTCAAATGAAAGTCAAACAATTAATATTAGTGAAAATTACATAGAGGCCTACTTTTCAAGATCCAAGTTCAAAAATAACATTTTAAGTTTTAATGTTCAAAAATCAGATTTTTTATAGATAGATACATATTTTTATATTTAATTAAATATTAATAATAATATTATAAAATTAAATTAACATTTGTACCCACCCTACTACCTACCCCCACCAAATTTATATAAAACCTAAATCTATCAAACCCTAACCTAATCCAATTCATTTCTCTCATCTCTTCCCCATCCCCGTTGCCGCCGCCACCTCCACCTCTCCACCGTCGTCGGCGCCGGCGCCGCCTCCTCCTCCTCTTCCCTCCCCCTCTCTCTCCTCCTCCTCTCCTCCCTTCTTCTCCCCCTTCCTCCCCCTCCCTCCCTAGGCCGTGAACAGCAGCAGCTGCTGCTACACCCACAGCAGCGTCGCTCGACGCCGTTCACAGCAGCGTCACGCGACGCTGCTGTGGTCGCGATGGGCTCTGCAAAATTCTCCCCCTCTGCTGTGGTCG